TGTGGTAAATGTTTAATATGACCAAATTATCTAAGATGACTCTTTCTAATCTAGTCAACCGTTGGAGCTACACCAACCATTTCACGGATACGTCCGTTTCACATTTTGTCTCTTAAAATATCAAGCCACTCATCCACCAAAGTATTCTAATCTCAGCAACAATCAACTTAAAATTTATGCCTCTCTTCTAACATGAAAAAATAAAATAAAATTTCAAAATATCTTTAATGAAATACTTCCTATGGATTTGCTTGTATAAATTAGTTAAGATTACATGATCCAATCAGTGTATAAGCATACATAACAAAAGCAACATATTTCTCGTCAAAATAATAACACAGAGAACAATTCTACTGCCATGACCTATCCTAGACATGCTGTCATGCCTGATTAACAAAAAATATTCACAAAAAAGAAATATAGATTCTTATTAGTACCTAAAAAACAGATAATTCTAACATAAAATAAGGAAATCGTTACTAAATCCCACCATTTTTACATCATAATATCAAAGCAATAATGCACAGATTGCATAAACTGAACAAATAAGCTCCTTAATAAGATTGTAGAAAATAAAAGGAGAAAATACGTGGAACAGATGAAACAAAACAATTTTTTTCCCCCTAAATTACTGTAATGCCTGGCTTCATCCTGTCTGCCTTTCTAAGATAAAACGATTTACAGTAGCTTTAATTACGGCAATGGCCCGGGCTCATGGAGTGGCGAGGCTACGTAGAAGGGGCATTATGTTCATTCCAGGAGGAGCTCTCTCTCTCTGATGCCTTTCTGCCATGGAAGCAGAGAAGAGCAAGGAAACTTTCTGGCTTCTTCTTCTGCTTGAAGAAGCTGCTTAATTTCCTGCCATTGTGCATTTGCTGCTTGGGATACCTCAATATATAGTGGTTTTTTTATTTATTTCTGCCATCTTTTTGTTAAACTTATGCTTTTTAATATGTTATGAATGTAATTTTCATTTTATTGCGCTTGTATCATGTTTTTTTGTGTTGAAACGTATCATGTAAACTTGGTGGTTGAATGTATATTATTTTATTTGTGTGTGAGAAATATTAATTTTTATTGGATTTTCTAAAATTATATTAAGCTGCCGCTAATTTTATAACATTAATGCTTACCATAATCTCTTTGTTAGGTTGGTTGGTTCCAATAAAAAATATCTTCTAGTTAGCCTCAAAAATATATTTTATTTCATTTGGAGAATTTTTTTTTTAAAGAAAATATAAGTTATAATGTAACTAAAATTTAATCCCAATGAAATTTGTAATTATTAAATTTATTTTATGTAATTAGTTGGTCAATTTACAAGCCTTTATAATTTATGATTGATTTTTGTACGTAGCTCATTGGTCTTGTGCTTTCATGTTTATCCTCTGCCTGGCACATCTTCTAGTCTTCCTGGTTTTCTTTTGTTGATAGTTTTTGCTCTATTTTTCACTTGTAATATTTATGTCGATGAAATAAAAATTTTGATTTGATGATAAAAATGAATGTCTCACGTAAAT